GTAAAATTATGTCACTTTATTACCTTAATGCATTTTGTACTTTATCGCAACTTGTCTTGCCCTCTCGTCCATATTCTGCCACTGCTTGCACGTAAGAAAAATCTCGTAGTAAAGTCTTGGCGGTACTATATTCTCGAAGAAATATACTAGCGGAGTTTAACTGTAAACCAACGATCATTCATCTTACAACAAGTCAACCTAAATCCGGTCATTCTCAATGACGTCATTTTTTTTGTCGTACTCACGCAGTGTTTATATGCACCTCTCTGCTCTTTACTTTTCCGTACCATTTCATCATAATGCAAGTACTCTCATTCTATCATATTTGTGTTTTGATAAGTTTCTGCATTCTAGGGTGAGTTCACCAAAACAGATCTTACGATGTTGTAGTTGCATGTGCTAAGCTTTATAGTTGTATGCAGTCCAGATTGGTTCAGTGAAACTAGATGAAGCAAAAAAAAAATGCTTTCAGAGCCCCCGGATCTGCGAGGGCAATTGGCACTGAAGAAATTCAACCTAAACCGAAAATGTCAGCTGGTGATGCAGTAAAGTACGATATAGTTGAGCGAGGATCCCTTTATAGTCTTGATTACCGAATTTTCATAAGTGAGTCATATACTCAGCGAGTGTTTTCTTTGCAAGGTTTGAAGTTATGCGCTTTCAGAGGGTCCTGATGGAGTTTTGTCTCCATGGCATGACATCCCTCTCTATGCTGACGAAAGTAAGAAGATTTTCAACATGATCGTTGAGATTCCTCGTTGGACGAATGCTAAAATGGAGGTGGGTAAAAACGGTCTCGTTCCATCCCAATTTCATATCTTTCTGGTTAAGATGGCTACTAAAGAAGCCATGTCACCCATCAAGCAGGATGTAAAGAAGGGATTGCCTCGATTTGTGCACAATATCTTTCCGCATAAGGGATACATCTGGAATTATGGGGCTCTCCCACAGGTGGGCACAGAATAGTCGAGGTTCTTGTTCGAGATGAAGCTCAATAATGTTTTCCAGACGTGGGAAGATCCTAACCACCTTGTGCCTGAAACCAACGCTATTGGTGATAATGATCCAATTGATGTCTTGGATATCGGATCCAAAGTGCAGAAACGAGGTGCTGTCATCCAGGTGGGAAATTTTGTTCTGTCATGATCGAATTCTCAGATAAGGCAAGAATAATAAGTGCGAGCACGCTTGCGGCGC